ATATATACGTATATACGTATATGTATATATATATATGTGTGTGTGTGTGTATGTGTGTGTGTGTGTGTGCGTGTATATATATGTGTGTGTGTGTGTGTATATATATATAGTTAAAGAATGTCGAAGACATCCGATTATTTACAACCGTATTTTTGTAAACACGTGTCCACAAACAAGTTGTGTGCATAACTATACACCGACGTTGATTGTTTGCACGTATATATAAGTGCATACATACCAATGAAACTCTGCTACAGATTTTAAACCGCCTGATGACTACAATGTGTTCATGAGTATAGATCGGCCTGTTGGATTTGTATTGTTCGCCATTATCAAGTGTAGCATGGATTTAGATATCCAGGTGTCTTGTGTGCGATTTTTAATGGAGGCAAAGGAACCTGAGCAAAGAGAACTAGTCATATATGTACAGTTTCGTAGAGTACTTATATATTTTATGAAATGATTCGATATATTTCAGTGCACTTAACCATTTTTGAAAGAGCGTATACCAAAGAGGTCAATATAGTAATATACAAGAGTATGCGACGATATTAACTCGTTCTGGGATGTAGACATGTTCACGAATGTGCCAATGTTGTGTGTGTGTATTTGTCCTATGAATATATCTGTATTTTCAAAATTATGGATGTATCTTGGATATATCGTCGTTGTGTGCTCATCATATACGCATAATTATGTGTATACGTGCACTCCTGTGATACTTTGTACTTGTTGTAAAAAATAAACTCGCTTGCTTCATTGCATAAAATTTATACCTATTTGCATTTTTTGCGTAAGCTCTTCCTTATTTTATTTCGACGAATATGGTATATACGCATGTATTAATGAACTCTGCGGCCACGGACGATACTTATGTGGAATCATCTATTTTGGAGCGACGGATGATATATGCGTTTATGTGTGTTGATCATTTTGAATGCCAGCCCAATGGTGCGGTTCAATTCCGGGCTTCCCTTGTACGATACTTCTGTTGAATAGCCTATTTGGCCTTTGCGATTGCCTCATTCTCGATGTTAGGCAATTTTTGCTGACACACTAAACCTCAATTAAGTATCTGATCTCGCGTGAAGACGGATCCTTGATTCATGGAGTTCATACAGACTTTGATGCGAGTGGAATACATAAATGCAATCTCAATTGATACGCTATGTTGTTATTGATTTTGCATCCATTCCTTGGTTGTACGCGTTTGCCATCTGAAAGTTGACCTACCAAAGAACAAGTTGTGTATTCATCCATGGTGAAAAATGGCTCAAACTTTCACGAAGTCTTGTGGAAGTGCTGCTATCTCAGTATCTGGAATTCTGTCCTTGATTTTCTACAACTTATCGATGCGAATACATGTAGCTTCTCTGTAGATATTGCGTACTTCTGTGCTATCGAATCGATGTATGTCTGGACATATGCTTCTCCGCTGACGGTGGACTATTAATTTTTCTATTTACAAGTTCTGAAACTTTCTGTTATTTTGCGTTTGGGAATTTTGATATTGATATTGCATTGTTCGCTTGCAAGTCCTACCGATACAAATGATCGCGCTACTACGGTTTCCTTTAAGTTTTACATTAGCGTACTAAGTAATTTCGTAGAGTGGTTGCAACCAGCTTAAGTGGACATTTATATGCTGCGATAGATTTATCTCAAGTTCAGATTAGATTTATGATGTACTGCTTTGTATGTGCTGCAATTAGCAGTAGTGTATTGGCCAGTGACTGTTCTCACAGAGCCACGTACTACTTTCAACTATGTCTGTTGCATAGTCGGACACCAGATGCTGACCTTATCTTATGTTCTCTTACTTTATCATTCAAGGTGGGTCGAAACCGATGGGGGTCTATCAGAAATCGAGTTCGAAGAAATATCCAGGGGAGATGGTGTTGTGGAACTTTTAGAGGCAAATAAGAGGAGGAAAGTCGTCTTGAAACAGTTCGAGAGCTGGCTCAAGTTTGACAATCCAGGTACGAATCCACAAACAGTTTTTTTTATGGCGGTCAATTGGTGCCCGAAATTTCTGAGTAACACATACAACTTTTCTGTATTTTCGCTGAGCACAGTATGAAACCATCCGTATGGCTTGTGATACTTCATATATATCCGAGTATATTTGGATCAGATTCATGAATGCACACAAATTGTATGTCGCTGAAATCGTATACTCGATACCAAAAAGAGTATGCGCACAATTTTACTCTAACATCTATGTCAATATATGTCACCCTTCGCATGAAAAGCAGATACAAAGTTCTGTAGTATCACGGATATTTCGGATATGCATAAACTGATATTATTTATATGTGTATATAAATATGTAAATGCTCTAGGATTGTGTATATAGATACAATTCTCAAGCATGTTTGTCAGGTAAAGAAACATTATATCGTCCTTTTTAAAGGAGATATGTCCAACATTTATTTTTTTGAATTTCTTAGCGTGTACGCAGTGCACAACACGATCGAAATGTAGGGTAGCGGTGTTCGCATACGGAGCTGAAAAGTGTAGAAGTGTGTATCCATATTAAACCTGCACTTCACATTAGTTCTGGGCATGCTTCTGGATCCGCTATCATTTGGACTTTTACTGAGACATCTGCTTTTCAATTTGTTTCTAGGGTTCTTTCTCTTATACGATGGAGTGGTGTGTTTCAACAAGCTTACGCTTAGCAAGGGCCGATATAACGACTAGTAACCTTCACAATGCGTGATATACTCCTTCCTACATTCGCAGCTCATAGTGATTTCGCACTGGCGAAAGGAAGGTTTGTGCCACGTAGCTTGAAGTATGAAACAGACGGTCAGGTTTTCTTTCTCATCGGCGATTCACCGGATGACTTTAACAAAAACAGGGTACACACTTACATAGTATAATTGTGTAGCAATCTTCCTTTTTTGCGTGTTCGCCTAACAAATTGTTTCGGTTCTGCATTTCGTTGTAGATGTATAGTCGATTAATTAGTGTCTGTATTTTGTAGGCTGAAGAGTACCTCTATTCGCTACGGAAGGATGAGTACAGTGGCAATTCAGTTGCATCCTATGAAGTGCAAATGGAAGGCTCAGATGAATCTGTGTTGCTGATGGAGCCAGATAAAGGCGAACGATGGCTTGCGCTCTATACTGACGGCAAGGTTACTCAGGGAACTGTGTATGTGAGTAGATTTAGACTTTTGTCTACAATTTCGCATCTTACTATTGTTTTTTACTTATTTCAATCAGCTATACCCCTAGTCTGTTAGGATGTACGTTGCCTGGCATTGATAAAATTATCACGAGATATATTCTGATCTATGAATTGTATTCCAGGGCTACACCTGTCGAAGAGTGGGAAGTTCTGACCGAGAAAGGGGAGTGGATCCCACCGCAACGTTCTTATATGCCTGTCGAGCTCTTTCCGGATTACGACATTTACAAATTCGGTGTGTGAACTGGTCGGTGTCTCCAGAAAATTCGTTCATAGACCAAATATTAGTCATATTTCTACCCGAGTTCTAAGGGTGGATTCCATGAATGCATTGCGCTGGCACGTTATCTTTTATGTTATGCTTCCTCCGCGAAGAAATAGAAAATGATAACACCCCTGCGTATTGTTGTGTCACAGCTTGAGCACTTACCATCTCACTTTGTAACTTACCACTGTAGGTAGTTCCGAATCGAATCGAGAATCGGGAGACCCTCGTCGTGGGGATGCAAAAATTGCCATGGTGACTCTGAATACGCCCAATATCGCGCAATATGCAAATCTTGCAGAGATTAGTCAAAAGCATTACGCGAAGAAACATGGATATGATTTCTATGTATACAGAGACTCGACACTCGACTGGGATATGGAACGAGTAAGATACACGCACGTTTTACATGATGAAAGCCTGTCAACTCGGCAGAGATGGGTGAACCGGTTCACATATACTAGCGTACGCCGAAGCTATACTCTTGATTGCAAACTATTTGGCCAATGATCACAATTTCGGCTGTCTTTTTTCACTAAATAATACTCTAATGTGCAGGGTTTCTGGGATTCGGCCGTGACGTGGAACAAAGTGAACGCTGTTCCGCGGCATATGCCTGATCACGAGTGGGTCATGTGGATCGATTCAGACGCTGTGATTACAAATCTAGACATCACTCTGGAGTCCATCATAGCTCAAGGAGTATGACAGTTTGGTGCTACCTGTTGTATTGTAGTTTGGAAGGACTTTCGAGAATCGGGCTTGATTCATGAATGCAAAACTTTCCTTGCTTCGCATTTTTCTATTTCAATGAAGTAGCTATACACTTGTCCTCTACATATCTAAGTTTCGTTTTGACTTTCTGTAGGAGGGTAAAGAGTTCCTCATCGCTGATGATCCTGGTGGGTGGCAGTTGAATACTGGCGTCTGGTTTGCCAAAAATACCCAATGGACTCGTGATATGATGCAGAAGTGGTGGCAGATGCCGAAACATCAGCACAATATGGGTAACGTTTAGTGACGAGAGTGTGCTTGGTTGTTGTTGTTTTTAATGGCTGTAAGTATGCAGCCCAATTGAAAGGAAATTTGTATATTCTTTCTAACATACTCACTACAAACAAGTAGTCATACCATTGCTCATTCTGCTTTTACAGACAGAATGTGGCCACAGATATCGAGACTTGTGCTGAATTGTCAATCAAAAATACAATGTCTGAGTATTAATATGAACTGACGTATCTGTGTAGGTGCCGAACAAAATCAGCTCATCAAACTGCTTAACGTTTTAGACCGAAAAAAAACGATGTGGAAGCTATACAAGGAATGTGACTTCAATTGTCTTCAAGATAATAGATTCGAGGGTGTTTTTCTGATTCATTTTATGGGTCTATGGCCGGTCGACAAAGTCAAAGCGATTAGAAAGGAAAATGTTAGACAAGGCCTCACTGACAAACATGACAATATTCTAATCGGAGAAGGAAGTAAGGATGAGCTCTGATTCGATAGTTAGGTATTAATTAAGTAGAAATCGAGTAGCCTGTAGTGAAAGGTTGGTCCCAGTGGTCCACTACCACTAGTCCGGGTGCAGGGTCGACTACTGATCCTACCTGTCCGAGCCCCGAGTGCATTCAGTACCTCCCTGAAAATGTTTGACTGTACACTTGAACGACGCATATGCCAGCCTGTCTGTTTCCTGCCGACGACTACAATGTTTCTAAGGACCTACTATCATATGTATATGTATATATAAACATACATCTATGCATCTCAATTTCCACTATCTCAACCCTAAGGATAAGGTGTCATAACTTTTAGCGTAGTTCCTCAGTTCTGTACGTCACGCCTTGAAGTACCGTTTGCAAATATTGACTTGATAAACAATTAGTTGATTTTTAAAAGTTTCAGGACTTGTATCACCTGCCCTGCCAATATTACAATTCACTCAGTTTCTACTAAATCCAAAGAGTCACTTTTATTATTATTTTTCAATTATTGGACTTCCATTCTGGATATATTCTCCGGGAATTCGAATTTACACTCTATTCCGGCTCATCATTATTGAATCGTGGTTGAACAGAGTAAATTCAGTGGGAGGAGGGGATTAACACGCCCTGTGATCCAAACATATCTCCATTGCATTCCAGTGACTTGTGTGACGTGGACAATCTGAGAAAGCTATTATGAACAACAAAACTGCAAGAAATGAGCAAAAAAATACAATAGAACTACCAACAACAAGCAAAAGCCAGTTTCCATGAATACAATAGAACTGTAAGCAACAAACAAAAGCCAGTCCCCATGAATAAAATAGAACTGTAAGCAACAAGCAAAAGCCAGTATCCGTGAAATATCGAGTCGAACTCTAAATTAGACCGTCAGACAAACGGCGTGAAGAGCGAAGATTCCGTAGGGAAGGAGTTGGAAGTGTGTGAGAACCACTTTGAACCCGAAATATATCGTGAATCGTGGTGAGAAGCCGACGAGATTCACAAATGACACAGTTCCAATGACTATGGATGTCGAATGGAATTGTCATTTCGCTAGGCTTAGAGAGAAACAAATTCGTGATGCGGAAGAGTCAAATACACCCGTTACCTGGACCTAGAAGGCGAGCAGCAAAGCCTGTCCAGACAAATGAAAACAGACCAGCAAATACTGTGCCACAAACCACCACCACTAGACTTGAAAAGAAGCTCGATATGCCAAAAAGTGTGTGTGATTCACTCACTACTGTGTTCGCCAACGCCCGCAAACAAGGATCCGGTTTCAAGAATACTGTTGACATTGCGTTCCAATTTTGCTTATGCTAACGAGCTGAAAGTGGAAGACTTTCGAATGTGCAAAGAGGCTGCTGATATACTGGACGTGGTGGAACACTGTTTGAGATCACCTTTCAATCGAAGATCAATGAAGTACAACAATACAGTATAGTTAAACTGTCATATAAATACTTCACTGGTTCTCATAAACTAACTCGCCTCTGAAAAATTCGTGCATATAGTGAGCGAAGTAACATTTGAGAAAGCATAATCCTGATCGACATAGCTTTGTCCTGAAGATGCATCCACATTGTGGTTCGGAAAAAAGGATTATAATACTTGTTCAATTTGGGGTGCGCACAGACAGATATACTTAATATGACCTAGTCAACTTATTGCGAATACCGTGATTCAGAGATTATATATTAAGTATGGTAAAACAGCACCGCCGTTGATAAGATTAATTCTTTCTAAATGAACAAATATTTCAGATATATAGTGTGCCACCTAGACGTCATACAAACATCATATCACAAAATTTCTTGTAGTGTATACGGGGGATAATATACTGTTTAATAAAATGTGAAAGGGGTCAAGTTTGTGTTGTAGGTGATAATGGCTTGCATGTGTTAGATCTGTTTTACACTGGTGTTAGTTATAATGTTCTTCCAATGTTGAAAAGCTGAATAAAATATCCTAAGTAAAATAATTGCTGGAGCTAGAATTTATATAGAACGTGCAAATCGTCGAGATTGACGGTTGAGATGCTCGAATGGGTAGTAAATATAACGTATGTACCTTACATCTTTTGTAAGGTTGCGATAATCTTAAAATGAAAACGTTTATTGATCATTTTATATCAAAAAATGATCATTCAATCTGAAGTTGTAGCATTTTTAAACTGGTATATAATGGTATATAACTGCGAATTGATCGTGAAGCTCTCCTTTCTGATGATCGTGGCGGGTGTATCTAATGGTACAGTATACAGGCCAAACATCGCCCGATTATTGTCAATTATTGATCACAGTAATCAAGAATTCTTTACGAAGACATAACCCACGATTGAACAGCGGATGTTCAACAAGGTTTATCCTGGCATCAACCAAGGAGAGACGCTAAAACTCAGAGAAGGACGCAGAACAAATTCAGATGAAAATTTACCTCCGAACAGAATTGCCGGGAGTATGGAATCGTATAAATGGGAATTCTATAATGAGAACAGGACATCCCATTATCGGATGAGTATAACTTAGACGTACAAGACCAAAGATTGCGATAGAGGCCACGTTCAGTTGAAGACGTGACGACCGGGGGGGAAGGGGTTTCCGGTCTGTAGACGTACTAGTATTGTTTTGGGTACTATTTTGTACGAGTCTCGTTTATTCTGCAAATGGATCATGCGCCTCAATTCGTGTAGTGGGGTTTCCGAAGGTCAATTGACTAGTAAGGATTACAAGTCTAACGTCAACTCTCTGGTAGAAACGTCCCTGCCACAGAGCTGACTGGCCCAAAGCACGCGACGGTGATTGTCGCCTGGCATATCATCGGCTTTGGCTACTAATCTGTCATATTCGTGTGATCTATATACAATAGCCAGCGAAGAGGATGACAAGACCAACGTAATTTGCTAAAGTTGCTCCTCCAAGCGTGTGCATCCGATCTAGGCAAAGAATTGAGGTCGCCCAACGGTGTAGTAGGATACCATATATTGACGCATATAAGTACAGTTAAACTATTTGCAATACCTATATGGTCAATTACAGGTATAGCCACCCGGGTTCAACAGATATTTAACATTTCGTGTAAACCATACCCTCATGGTTGCGGTCTAGAGAAAAAATCAGTAGCTGTGTGGATCTCCTATTCAGCCTACCGACTATCTGTTGATGTTTCTGCTACACATAACATGTGGAAAGAGTCGTCGCGTAAATTTGCTGTTAGAATTGGGTACAGTATAGAATATGTACCCAATCGTCTTCAGCTTCAAACTAGATCTCGCCATATCGAGTTTTTATCTTTATAATATGGAAAATGCAGATAAAATTGATACGTTGCGCTCGCCAATAGCATCAAGTCGCACTCAGTGACGCCAATATTGATAGTTGGCAGGGAACGAATGTAAGGGAAAGTGTTAAATAATGCGACTCGTCTTCAATTAGGCCAGCTTTTTTGTTGAGCGACTGTGCCTCCATCTTCACCCGCGTCTGAATCGGCTACTATGTATGGCATCTTGAATTCAACGTTAAGTATCTCGCTTTATGGAATGGATGCTATATACACACCGCGCACTTCTCTTTCTTAGATCTACATAATGATTACTCTGATATTTAAAACAGTGGCCTAGTAGGTTTGTATATGTCAAACCAAATGCCATACAAACTGGAATTGGAAAAGAAAAATGAGATCTGATATGAACAATAGTGTGCTAAGGAATTTGTTTGATGCAGCGGATTCGAAGATATCCCACCTTGTAGAACCCAGATATGGACTGTGCGAGTAACACTTGACTCTTATTCTTAGCAAGAATTATACAATGACATAAACAAGCACTATATAGAAGACTTACTAGTGCATTCAAGTAGATATTTCTAGGTGTTGCAAGAACTCGTATCGCGCATTGATATCCGCCTGAAAAAAATTAACATTTGAAAGACTGGCAAGGAGTGGCGAGAGAAAAAGATGATAAATTTATGGTCGGCTTTGAACCGTCTTTAGTACCCACAGGTATTGATAATTGTAAAATGGTCGGCTTTGTGTCCTGCAAAAAAAAGGTAGTACATACGATCCCGAGCATCTTCAACCTATACCGGGCCGTAATTCTGTGATATACTAGTAATAGTGATGTACTAGCAATAAATGCTACTTTAAACATGTCAAATTCCTCGTCTTCTGAATAGGGTGGAAGAATCCGTATTTACGAACAAATTTCGATTGGAGTTAACTTTCGCTACAGTTGACTCGTATAATAAAAACTCGTTAAGCAGGGAAATTGTAATATCTACGTGATTAGCTTGAATAGTTTTGATAAAATGCATGACACTGTAAGTTCAAAATTTGCCTATCACCAATATCAAACACGTTTCATCCGAAATATTTTATTATTCACAAGCGTGGAAAATCATATTTTATGTTTCTGATTTCACAGTTCCAAATGGTAGAAATTTGAAATCAACATTTGTAGATACTCTATACATTTCTCAAATACGTTTGCCGCCTCGATTTCTGGATGATAAGAATGGAAGTATATTCATGAAATCATTCTATTTATTTTTCTCCTCTCTGCGTACGAGTACATGATTACTGACTATGTTATATACAAAATTTTGCCCCAATATATAGTGTTCTCGGCCTGTAACTATAGATCAGTACCGGCTCTACAACTGTAGGTAGAACAGGGCTGATTAGCCGTACTCTGAATTGGGTTTGTACCATTCATTTGTAATACTATAGGTTCTAGTTTAGTATTTCAAATATATTGTTCAAAACCAACCTGCCAAGTTTAATTAATGTATGCCACGCTTCTTGTATACCTGTACAATTCATGTTGGTTGCGAAGCGCCTGAGAATGTGTATGTGCTTAAACATAACGATAAGGGCCAGGCTAAACCAGTTTTATGAAAATTGATGCGAGCTGAATGGTGAATAGACTATGACAGGTATTGTCGCGGGGGAAGACTCACTTTGGAGGCCATTTGCACGAATGGTACGTGAATATTGATTGCCAGATTTGTTTTCTGAAATGTACGGTATTAGCTCGTGGGTTTTCGGTTGCTGGTAAAGAAATATTATGTTTAGTGTAGCAAGTGTCGAGCTGATTATGGTTGTTTTTAAAATGGCTTTCGCATTAGATAAATGATCCTTGACGAACTTTATTGACAGATTTCAAAAGATAATCCACAAGTACTTAACACATTTAAAACTTCAACCCCCTTGATCACCCAGCCTGTATGAAACATATATTTTTATTTGTGAATGATGAAACCCTACTCAGGGTATTTATTGG